TAAATATATTGTGCTCTTTAAAAACATGCTAGTAGGCTGGGGATGTGGGTCAGTGGTAGAGTTTTTGCCTTGCGTGCACAAAGATGTGGGTTCAATCCCCAGCACCAAAGAAAGAACTGAATTTCAAAAATGTTAATTCATTAAAAGTTCACATTGGATATGGAGCACACCTGTAACCCTACCTACTGAGGAAGACTGCAAGTTTGAGCCCAGCATGGCAACTTAGCTAGACCCTGTCTCAAAAATAAAAATGGAGCTAAAGATGCAGCTCAGTGATAGAACGCTTTTTTTTTTAGCAATCCCCAGCACTACACTCAAGTATTATACACACACACACACACACACACGGAAAGTTCATGGCAGAGACACCAGCACAGCATTAAAAATATGAGACTGAACAATCCCAGTGCTTTACGGGGAATCATTTTGTATTTCTTGGTTAATATGGAAATCCTTAAAGTGAAATCAGGTTAGCATAAGTATAAGTAAAAGCTTTTAAAGTCTTTCAAAATAATGCTATTTAGGGAGTTAATCATCGTATTTCTTATGAGAACAAGAGGGAACTTTACTTACTAAAATCAATGTAACTCACTTTTAAGATGTCCCATTTGTGATGGTCTTGACTTTTGAAATAAACCTCTCATATAAAACAATTCCTGAGAAAGGACTTACAATCATATCACAGTTTTCCAAGAGTCACTCTACCCTCCATCTCCTACTCCCAACCCTAAACTGAAACCATGTCCTGAACCTGAGACTCTTAAAGCTGTGGGCAGTACTCAGTTTCCCAGGTACGAGGTTGCAATGAGCATGATAATATATATATATATATATATATATATATATATATATCCAGAAGGACGTTGTATATTGGAAACTGACAGCCAAAACTGACATTCCCTGACAGTCACTGAAACACTTATTTAGGTCCTCATTTTTCTGGAGCTCACTCTTTCCCAACATGTGGCCCTGGGAACCCTAGCATCACCAGGGAGCTTGTTAGAAATGCAAATTCATCGCCCCACCCAAGACCAACTGAATCAGAAACTCTGGGAATGGGGCCCAGCAATTTGTGTTTTAACAGACACTACAGAAGATTACTAGGTACACTTAAGTTTTAAAAACCAGGCCTCCTTAACCTCTAAAGTACATAAAAATCACCTGGGAAGCTTGTTAAAAATGTATATTCCAACTCAGCAGATCTGAAGATCTGAGAGCCTACATTTCTAAAAAGTTCCCAGGTGATGTCTTCTGTAGACCACATTGCAAGCCTTGCCCAAATCAGTTGTTTACCAGAATTACCCATGCTGCTCATAAAGTACGGACTCCATGGCATCATCCCAGACAAAATTAACTTGAATCTCAAGAGAAGAAACACCTAGAAGATAATCACTGGTTCTTCACTTCAACTACACATTAAAGAGCTTTTAATAATCCTGATTCCCAGGTCCCTAGAAGATGGATTAAGTCAGAATCTCTGGGCCTGGAACCAACCATCCCTCTTTTTAATAACTTCCCAGTGACTCTAATATGCAACCAAAGTTGGAAATGACTACTTTGAAATCTGGCTCACCACCTAGCACAATGGCTCCTTTTACAGTTAGTTACAAACAGGTTTCCATAAAATAGGTATCAGTGGTCCCTCACAGATAAATCCAAGAACTCTGATTTTTCAATAGTAAAACGTCCATAATATCATGTTGTCTCATGTCTTGAGCTTGATTTCTGCAGACAAATGTAAACTCTGCAATGGTGTGGGTACTCAAAAAGCAGCAACAACAATGAAGAATCTATCTATATGGTATATTCATATGTTGACATTTCCTCCAACATTGAATCACATAGATGATTTGAAATGTCTAATAATCTTTCAGAATGGAAGGGTAAAATGATGGATCTGTAACCTCTAAATTTATAAAAGGCAGATTTCACCTATTAAATATTCCAACAGAAAGGTCCTGGAAAGGAATAAAATAGTATGCTTTTCACATATGAGAATTTAAATAGTCAAAAATGCAACATTTTCTGGTGGAAAGACAGGATTTCAAACACACTGTTCATAACGTAACACATACCTCCTAGAAAAAAGCCCATTATGCCTATCAATGGCTGTGTGTGTGTATATGTGTGTGTGGTACTAGGGACTGAACTCAAGGCCTTGGCACTGAACTACATCCCTAACCTTTTTAATTATTATTATTTTCTTATTTTGAGATAAAGTCTGCTAAGACTTTACATTCCCCAGGTGGGCTCAAACTTGTGATCCTCCTGACCCAGCTTCCTAGAGTGGTGAGATTACAGAACACCACCACTACTCTGGCTATCTACTGATGTCTTATGATACTTAAACACAATGTCACACTAATAAGCACATAATACTAATGAAAACATTAAATAGAAAAAGTGTGCTGATTACTAAGACACTGTTAAATGACGTCAGTTATCTCACTGCCATAATAAAGAAATTTTCCTGAATTCTACACAGTATATTACAAAAATGAGCTTAAGAAAAATGAAAGTGAGGTATGGTGACTGATGCCTATAATTCTAGCATTTTGAGATGCTGAGGCAACAGGACGACAAGCTCAAGCACAGGCTGGACAGCATAGAGATTTAGCAAAACCCTGTCTCAAAATAAAAAATTTTAAAAGGGCCGAGGATGTAGCTCAGTGTGAAGGCCCTAGGTCCAATCCCCAGTACCCCCCCACACACACACACAAACCTACAAAGATAAATAAAAATAAGAGAGTCTTTTCACTGAAATGAACTTCATTCTCTGCTTGGTCATTTTCATTTTCAGTATCCACTCTAAATTTATATTCTGGAAAATACATGGCACACAAAGCCTACCACAAGATAATGGTTATTATTCTTCCACCATCATTTCAACATACAGTAGTCAACAATGTGTCTTATTCATCTGCATAATTCCTTGAAAAAGAAATCCAGTGACTGAAGTATCAGAAGAGAAACAAATACCTGAGTATGTGTACAAAGTGGCCAATGTGAAAATGATATTTTCAAAAGCGTTTTTCTGTATGAACTGGTCAAGCTTGCTTTTCTCTTAAAATTCTTGTCAGTCATTCAGTTAACCCAAACTCACTTTAAAATGTGTGAAAATAGCACCTCTGGAAAGTATGTTCTCATATGCTTTGAGGCCGTGGAGCGTGAACACTAGGAGATCCTTCAACAAAGTCATGTAACAGCTCAAGAAGTGAACAGGAGTGAATTTTTACAGTACCAATTTAAGTATCATACAGGCATTGATTTAATACATATCAGACATACAAAAGAAGACAGAAAAGTCACAAATAAGTGACAAGCTAATAAATATTTTACAGATTATTTTTACATGGCAATCTTTTCAAAATAAATTTTACTTCATAATCAAAAAAGAAATTGGTTAAAGTGTGGACTTAGGATTTAAGGTACTAGAATTAACACTATAAAATTTATGGAGATATTTAATTTCATTGACAAGTGTCTGCCTAGATGTTTTTTCATACACTTTTCATGAACCAATGCCCAAAGATGAACCAAGTCTAGAAAAAATGCACATACCATAAAAGGATCATATAAAATAAAAAACATTTACAGTCCCAAAGTCAAAGAAAACAAACAATACAAATACACAATTTCCAGGACATTTTATTGTATTTTCCACTTTACATATTAATTTAGTACTGTTAGTCTAGGCATAAGATGTTCATACTTAACCAGTAGTTCAATCCCAAATCTCACAAAATGAAATGAAAAAGTTTAAACAGAACATGAATTCAGGTATTTATAAGAAACCAGGGACACTTAACTAGAAAAGTTGATGATTTTCACTGAGTTCCACTGAATTTTTTTCTCTATTATTTTTCTTGTTAATGCTAAGTATTCACAATAAAAACAATCATCTTTCTTCCCATTCTGCCCTCTCTTGGTCTTTACATTCTGTCTAGCATTTAACTCAGAAGTCAGTTTACACTCAGCTTACACATTTTATAAAAAACCATATGCCCCATCTCCCACACATCCAAACAGGCAGGAATCAGAACTAATCTGGCTTTTGGCTGTAACAGGGGTATTTTAAATAACTTCAGCTACACATTTGAAGGGTAAAACAATTTGAAGTACAAAATCCAAAGAAAATCATAAAAATGCCTACATTTTTATTGTTGGATAGCTAAGGTCTCAAAATCATTGAGTATAACATAGATGTCTCAGAAGTGAAGTCAACACAAAAGTGAATGCACACTTAATGTACAAACTGATAGTGTCTCTGTGGGGACAGCTCTCATTGAATGAGCTATTACCCAGACAGTAGAAATAAGGGGGGAAAAATCTCACTCCAAATGTGAAGAAACCGGCGGTGCACTCGCTTCACTAGAAACACATTTTAATGGGTATGTTCGGATAAAAATAGGTAGTAAGGGAAAATGTATTTTAAAAACCTTCCCCCTCCCTGGGGCACAAGGAAACCCAGAGAAAAATACGGGTAATCTTCTCAAGCTCCGGAGCCAAGTTCCATCACTAGCAGAACAGAAGTTGAATAGTTGCTATTTTTCAATGCAATGGGATAGTAGCTCTCTATTCACAGGTACAGAGTGGGAATACTGGCGGGGCTTACACATGGGGTAATGGAAACCAAAAGGAGGAGAGGTCGGCACATTAAATAATCCAGATCTCCAAAACCGGGGCAACATGGGGTTAAGAGTGGTGGTAAGGAGAAAAGGAAGGGGTCAAAACTCCTCGAAGTTACAGAAAAGAGAAAGCAAACACCTCTGGAAGCCAGGGGGCCATCTCCCGTAGCAGCACCCTGCTCCAAGTGTAGGGTGCTTGCCTCGCGGGGCAGAAAGCGCGAGGTGCCCTTACTTAGGTTGAGTGGCTCCGGAGACCCGATCAGGGAGAGGGTTAGGGGCACGCGGCGGCGGAGAGGCGGACTCGCACTTTGCCTCAACTCTGAGCCCCATCCCGAGCGCAAGGGAGAGGGCGGCGGAGGGCACAGTACTCACTAGGGCTCGTTGGTGAACCGGGGGGTACGGGGCTGCTGGTATCCGTACAGGTGACAGTAGAGCACATCGAAGCAAAAGCAGCACATCTCCGCTGACACCACCATCTTCCGGGAGCCCGGTGATGAGGACGAGGCGGCGGACGAAGAGGAAGGCGAGGAAACGGTGGCGGCGGCTGGGGTAGAAAGTAGGGTCCCCACTCCACAGCTCAGAGGTGGCGAGAGGGAAATCCCCCCGCTGCCGCCGCCGCCGCCACCGCAGCCCTGGGGGGGAGAGAGGGTACAGCCACCGCTGCTACCTCCTCCGGTTAGACCTCCCAGCCCGTTGAGCCTTGTACCGGCGCCTCCTAGTCCCAGCTCCCCAGCTCGACACTGGCTCTCTCCGCTGCAGTGGGAGGAGGAGGAGGCGCCACCACCGCCACCCGAGCCAGAGGGGGGCGAACTGGACAGTTTCTGTTTCTTCACCCCACAGCAACCCGCCGCCATCTTGGAACAGTCTCCCCCACGCAGCGCTTCCGACCCATAAGTGAAGCGAGCTGGCGGCGGGGGCGAGCACGCTGCGGCCCCGGCCGCCGGGGGCGCGCTGGGGGCTCGCGGGGTGCGCGCGCGCCGCTCCCTGGCCTGGTTGCCTGGCCACGCGGCTGCTCGTGCGCGCCCCCGCAGCGGCGCGCTCCGGCAGCTTTCGCGGCTCAGTGCCTAGAACCAGTTCTTCCCCAGTCACACTGCTCAGAACCCAAACCCTGAGGCCTCAGAGAATGGAAAACAGAAGCCAAAAAGAAAAGAAGGTGAAGGCAGGGAGATCAAGACAGTGGCGAGTGGGAGTAAGATGAGGTGGGCACACCAGGAGAGGAAGGAGGAAATGGGAAACTAGTGTTAGGGGAAAAGAAAGGAAAAACTCTGGAGTAAAACGTCCAAGTCCCAAAGCATAGCTTGATGACCTCAGCTGCACATAGTGTTCCTGACAGACACTTGCGCCCACTTAAATGGAACTGGAGCCACCTGGCCTCAAATTTGCTGGGCGGTGAACTGTTGGAGCATGAACAAGAAGGTGAGTTCCACACTTAATACTGCCCCTGTAAAGTCTGTCCAAAAAACAGGCAATAGGCAAGCGGTGAAGTCTTCAACACCAGCCCAAGCGAACACCAGGGTTTTTCCGGATCTGACAAAAATGCAATGCTCTCCTAATCAATAAATATGAAAGCTCAGTTTTATCTGTATGTCTTGCACTGGCTCTCCCAAATTCCCCTCCTAGCTGCATGAAAATGTTTAAAAACCAAAAACAAAGTCCTGACCTCCACCGCACAGATTCAGAGATGTTAATTGTGCTTTGGGACTTGCAGCAGTAGGCTTTTCTTGTCTGGTGTTTTGGTTCTTGGCTTAGGAAAGCAATTTGAAATATAGGGCAGGTAGTGTACTTAGTCATAAATTGGAAGATTTTGTTCAGGTATATAATTAGTTCTTTTTAAATTTCTGAATAAAAAACACATTTGGATGAATGAAGAAGCATATGAGTAAGTCAATCCCATTCTGGGCTCTTAGGATGCTGCTTTTAAAAGTGACAATAATCAAATGCTAACATTCATAGAAATGAACCTGACAGAAAGCATGTTTTTTGAATTGTGTCATTTACACCATGCCAAAATATCTCAACAAAGTAAAGTATCTGTCTATTTGCAATCAGCAGATTGATTTTGACACCTTTGATCTAAGTGTGTGAGAGCCTGGAAACAGCTGGGGACTGTACATGTTACTCACAGGGAAAATGCAAAAAAGAATTTTATTCATTCAGTAAATATTGAGTTTCTGTGCCATACTATGCACGCACTATACTTCTGTTGAAATGAAAAGCATACACAGGAAATACACCTCCCACTCTCGGGTTTATAAATTAAGTCAGATCTGTGTACATAACCAGAAAAATAGTAACTATTTATTGCACTTTCTGGGTGCCCAGTGTCATGCCTTCTCCTACCTCATAATCCTTCAAAATAGTATATTATCTCATTTGATCTTCATAACAAGTCTCTGAGAATGCTCACTTAAACCTCAGAAATAACGTGCCTAACATGCACACAGAAAGTGACAAAGGTAACAGTTAAAAGTGGATATGTCTGGTCCTAAAACCTATGCCATATTTCCACCCTGCCCCTTAATAGCAATAGACAATAGCAAAGTTAGTGATGGACAAAACATATTGACATTAAAGTAGATGTAACCAAGGTTAAACAAAAAGAACAACTTAGTTTTTATGGGAAGATTGAGAAATACTGTTACCAAGGAAAGATAAACAATGTCCTCCCAAAAACGTATTATAAAATAGATCAACTGTCAGGGATGTTTAGGTGCAGCCTAGAGAAAAAGGAGATGGTTTAACTGGTTTGAGATACGTGGTTTTGTCTCCTCAAAGCTCATCACCACTGGTAGAGATAACTTTATGTTTGAACTAAGTAGCAATTCACTCTTAACTACTATTGGAGTAAAAAGTATATTAATGTTGCAGAGGATAAAGCAACATTAAAAAAAAAAAGAAAACACCACAAACAACTAGTACACCATTAGGATATTTTTTTGTATTTTATCCTTTTGTATCACAGCATATTTTTAATGTGTTTGACATTGGATCAGCGTTATACATTGTCAACATGTATCAAGTTATAGTACTGTACCCCTTAAATAAGTACCCCTTAAATATTTGTAAATAGCATATGTCAATTAAAAATAAACATAAATATATTTTAGAGTGGAGCTGGGGATCCAAACCAGAGCTTCACACCTGCTAGGCAATGCTCTGCCACTAAGCTAGATTCCCAGTCCAATAAATAATTTTTTAAAAAGAAAATGGTAACTATGTGAGAATATATTAATTAGCTTGATTATGGTGATTATTCACGATGTATACATATAATAAAACATCAAGTTTTACACCTGAAATATATGCAACTTTACTGTCAATTATAACTCAAAAATGTTATGGGGAAAGAAACTGGATCAAATACAATATTAGACAGTAGATACCAATGCACTCTCCACCGCACTAAAAAGTGTTCACTTCAAGAGTAAAAAATCAGAGCCATTTAATGACATCACACAACACTTTAACACAGGAAGTAAAGTAGGATACCATGAATGGTCGTTTCTGCTAGGGGAATTTAAAAAAGCAGAATGTAATCTCCCGATTTAGAATTTGGCCAGTAGACAAGACTCTAACGCCCCTAATCTTGTGAAAATAGCAAAGAATCTTTAATAAACACTAAAAGTCATGTCCTTAGTTCTGCATTTCATCTAAAAGATAAAACATTATCATGGGTACCGTACCCAGCTAAAGAATTGATGCAATGGGAAACTCAAAGACAAGGACATTCCAGCCAAAATTTTCCTCCAAGGATTTTTAATTCCAATTTCAAGTCTCATTGGCATAAAGAAAACAGACAAACTCAAATGTGATCATTGAAGAAGACATCACTACTGACAACTAGGGGTTATTCAATTGAAGTACTGTACTTCGTTGTGTTGCCTGATTAAAAGTTGGAGAAATATTATTCTTCATTCTGTGTTAATGTCTCCTAAACTTGACTCATCTCCCATAATAACTTTGAGCTTCAAGATATTTTATAAATTCCCTGGCAAGTAGTGGTGATGGTGGTGATTGCGGTGATGGTTGTAATACCTCCTTTTACCATTTGAGGAAATGCCCCTGGCCTTATTTTCTTACAAGTTGCCAGCATAGACTCAACCATATTTCATTCAAACGTAAATGAAATTCACAGAACAAATTCTGTGAACTCTTTTATATCTATAGAAAATGAATACTGGCTAGGGAAACTGATCATGTTCAGTATTCTCTTGACTTGAAGCATAAAGGTCAAAGTACAATAGAGCACATGTGTTTCTACCCTTTGTTGATACTGGAGTGCAGTTATAATACCCTCCAGAGGAAACGTTAAGGTGACTTCTGCTCTTTGTAACTGATTGTCAAGCTGGGAACTGAAGATTTCACCTTCCTTTTAAATATATAAAAAAGTAAATAGGCCACAGTCTCTTTATCAGCAAAACACACTCAAATTGCATACATTTCTGCTTCTGCATCTGCATCTAAATTGCTGTTAACTCACTTGTCAAATGCTTTGTTTTTTCACTGTGGAAAGACTATTTAAAAAGCGGTTATGTGTGTTATTTATTATGCAGTAAAACTGTAAATTGAATTAAACCTAACATTTGCTGATTATTTTATCAGTGCCTCAACATATTCACATGTTTACAGCAGTTATCCTTTCATTTCACAAAGCAAGATTAATAATTTGATGAAATACCAAACTTGTTAATGTTATAAAATTATTTTCTTAGATTTTGGGGGTGTGGGTGAAATGAAAAACATTCACATAATTAAATGAAAAAAACTGCCATTTTGCTCAAACAAGTGTTATTTTTATACTCTGTCCTCAAACTTTCTCAACTGTTATCCTTGAACAACTGCAGAATGTAATATTCTTAGCTACCACTTTGATCTAACCTTGTATACATATAACCCATGGTTGTGGTGGTGGAGGTGGTGATTAGTTACCTTTTATGTTTATTGTGTGTCAGTAAATACTGAAATTCTTCACCTACTTTCCAATTCATATTGATAAGTGGATCTTTCCTTCCTAAATCCTTACTTTATCTAATGAATATATTTCTGAACCAAAGCACTGAGAGCCACCTTAGACTGTTTTCTAGTTGTTTCACTTCCCACCTTTCATCAAATGGAGTGCAAACTAAGTGAACGGTTGTTTTGTTAGCTTTTTCCTTGAGATAAAGTTACATAAACTCTTTAATGATGTTTAAATATGCTAACATCAGCACCAAATGTGTGAGAAATAATGGAGCTACCTAGTTGTAGATTACAAAGGAAAGCTTCTCAGGAAGGAGTTGACCAAAAACACTATTGTATGAAGCAGAAGAGTTGTAGGGCAAAGTGTTAGAAGAGATGTGAACTATTTTGAAAAATCTTTACTGGACTGTCTTTTTTTCTTTTTTCCAAAGAATTCATCTGTCATCTATGCATTTACTGATTGACATGCTATACACTGCATGTCAATTTAATTCTAAAAATATAGTTGTTTTTCTATACCTAATCTCACCAAGTTCTTGAAACACCTATTCCAGTTGTTTGGAGGCAGGGTTGACCATTATGAACATTAAGACTGTTAATTAAAATGTACAAGTTTGTTTTAAATTAAAAGTCTCTTTTGTACAAATATTAAATTTAAAGTTCAAACCTATTCATGATACTGAGGAATACTGGTGGTGGTAATGCCTCCTTTTAACATTTGAGGAAATACCCTCTGGCCTCTCTTATAATGTGGGGTTTTTTTTCCCTGTAAGGTGTATAGTAATGTCTTCTCTTTCCTTTGAGTCTTCTTTTTTTCTCAGTCCATCTAAAGGCTTGATAATTTTTCTCTTCTTTTTAGTCAACTTTTGGTTTTCTTATTTTACTGTTATCCTAGTCTGTATTTCACTGATCTCTGTTTTAATCTTTATCATTTTTTTCTTTCGTTTGCTATTCTAGTTTCCTAATACGATAGGTTATGTCAGTTATTT